AAGTTAAATGGAGGTGGTACATCAAGAGGAACTCTACGAAGTTTCTCTTCCCGAAGTTGTTATTACACTCGATTAGGGGACGAATTGTTTCTGGTCTTCTCGGGAGGGCGGGGTTTTTTCTTTAGGGATTAGTTGTGCATGATGGCAGTGGAGCGGCTCACGACTTCGATATTTTCGTTCACGTGAAATCGAATTTTGTATGGAAATAAGCATTGTTATGCTTTCCCTTCTTTTCTGTAGTCATGCCACGATCACTAAGGATCGTAGCCAAGTTCACAATAGTTCTGGAGTGGGCACAGTGTGGGCCTATTATGGGTTTGACTCAGCAATGATGATTTGAGAGTAAATCCCCTCAATAGATCTATCTCTGATATCTCTGAACGGCGATCTCTAATCCTTTTGTCGTGACTCTGCGTGGCCTCCGGTCAAGATGGTTGCATCGGCGATGGAACCCCGCATTGTCGTGGCTGCGAGTTTTGCCCAGCTAACCTGAGGGTGGGTTAAGCGCGCCTGTGAATGCTCGGGGGCGTGGTACCTCAATCCTGACGCGGAACCAACCGGTTAAGGTCTTCTATCCCTCTGACAAGATGGTAGCTGTCGACGGGGACGGAAGGAGAGAGAGCACGAGATGAAGGGCGGGTAGGCGGACGTCCGAGCTGGAGCAACGACGACGAGTTCCGGAGAACACTAGACGAGGTTTGAAGGAGCGGAGCACGTGAAGAATGCGATCAACAGATACGAGGAAGGATACCACTAGTATTGAAGATATCTCATATACATAAATCACCAAACATTATATATACAAGGGTGGCATAAATACAGACAGACAGGAATATTGGATATGTGTGAGAAAAAAGAGTGCTTGAATGACTACCAAGTATTAAGAAATAAGAAGTGAGGGTTGAGCTATGACAAGTAACGAATATCTTCGATTGCATCGTGTGCGAAATCGTAAATTCACTACTAGAAGTTTTACCTGTACAGCGGGATCCATGGTGCATCGTGTATGTGATGGGTGACATGGTCGTTGATATGCATAAGGCGTAAGGAAGGAAGGAAGGCGAAGATGCTCCTCACGTGGCCGACTCGTGTGGTGATGACGATTGAATGAAGTGCCGCCAGCTGAGACAACGGATATCGACGAACTGACACGTAGTTGGCGCCAAAGGGCTTGCACTTTTGCCTTCTAGAGGCTTCCACACTGATCGCACGGTTTGTATTGCGGCGCGTAGTTTGAACGCGGTCTTCTCGCACCTATGGCCACGGAGTATGTTTACTTGAAGATGGGAAAGTGACGACACTCTTCATGCTCTCAATGATTTTAATTTCTAAGATTTTTTTTGTGAATGGGAAGGCATGAAACTCGTTGTAGGACAAACAGTAAAACTCTTATTTCAGGTGTTCGATGTGGAACGAACCCAAAGTAACATTTTCTCGCTCTTGCTTTCCGATCTCAGGTTTTATTTGTTTCTTGATATGGCTGGTGCTCTTCTGAGTAATATCCATTGAGTACACATGCATATTCTCAGTCCCGATTATTTTTCCTGTTTCTTCTGTTTTAATTGTTAAGCTTTCGGCACATAACCTTATTTTGTACTCTTTGAACTCTGTGCTTTTGGTTTACTCACTTGTCTATTTTTTAAGTTTTGTGCTTTGTTTTCGCACACACTATCTCCATTTAATACCTAACCTTTTTCAGCTGTCAGAGCTGGGTTCGAAACGGATTCTGCACGAGTACATTTTATTCCGAAGCGCACAAAAGGCAGTACTGTGGACGAGCTTGTGGCCTTTGCTAGGAAAGAAGAACCTCTTCCCTGCAACTGGATTTGAATGTGAATCTTCACATGTTTTTGATGTACATATATTTTGCACTGTTTTGAGAGCTGTGTGTATTTGTTCTAGTATGCGAATTAAGTAAGGTCTAGAGTTCCTCATAGTTGATTTAGTTGATACTCGAATGTGTATATGACATAAAGAATAAATTGGGCTTTCAAACCATGTACCAGGACCATTCTCCAAAGATGTCCGTTAGTAAAGTATCGATATTGCTCTGTGTGAGTATTGAGCTGAGGTCTGGGCTAGCGCGCTACTTGGCTGTGCAACACTTTAACGCTTCTACTCGACTGAATATGGGGTTTCGGCTACCTAAAAAAGAATAAATCTTGAGAGACAGACTAGGTTATTTATCAGAAGGGAAATGTCGAGAGCAGAACTTCGCAGGAGGCTGGAACCGCCCATATTCTCAGCTCTGAAGAAGGCATCGTCTTCAACGGTTGGTTCAAGGAAGACCTTATAGCAACATGAAGTGATCATGAGACAACTGCCCTTTACCTCATTATTCATGGGTTCAGAAAGCTAGAATTTGAGTTGATCAAATATTGGATCAGACAAAACAGCTAATTATTGAAATGTTCGTATATAGTCGTCTCAAATAGCACTTTTCTGAAGCTCTTGTTTCGTCAGTTTTAATTAATAAGCTTTCGGCACAAAATGTCTTCATCAGATCTTAAGCACACCATACAAGACATAGCAAAAATAAAAAATAGTAACTGGGTTTAATTAATATAAAAAAGGTTCATATATAGTGAAATGAAGACGCTGCTACATGAGAACAGCTAACGTACAAAAAACTGGCGGTCAGCTTAGAACGGCATAGCGCTAAGAAAGGCTCCTTTGTTGAAGTCGATTCCAAGCTTCTCACAGCCTGTAAAGCGAATGTGGTTTTGCCGGAGCTTCAAATATCCATCTCTTAAGGAAACTGCCTAAAAAGGTTATGCGTGAGATGAACACACTGTATGTGAGGTCAGAGGCGAGTTCACAGACGGTTGTTGCCACAAAGCTCTCATATCGAGCTTTGGTTAGGAAGGATAGAGGTATGACCTTGGAGCAAATTTCTTCAAACTCGATCTCATCCTTTGAAAGTGGTGTTGTCTGTGCTGTAGTATTTCCTAGTATATTTCCCTGCAGGAAAAAGCCCCAAAATCACACAAAAAGATCAGAGCGTAAGGAAACCTGTGCAGTAGAAAGAAATCCTCACATATTCTCACATAGGCACTTGATAGCTCTGAGTAAAGGGCACGACTTAGAGAGCCCTTTCATTAAATTTGAACCTAGAACTAGGAACAAGGATGGCTCATCTGCTTTTATTTAAGATGTGCTATTGAGATCATTATACGTCTATAAGTAAATGTCGAAATAGCCCCTATCAACCACTTACGTGCTTTGGAGATCTCGAACTTGTGGAACCGTACGGTCGGAAGTCACAAACCTCTCCGACTCTGAAGGAGGGGACAAGTTGGAAAGTCAGCCTGACAGAGCTTTGATACAAACTCTGTAAAGGGCGCAAGAAATCAATTCAGTTATGCTATCCCTGCAGTTTCGAATTGGCAACATAAACGGAACTGAAGGCGTAACTGGGAGAAAGGTGTCAAGCAGATGAAAAAGATCATGAACCTGATCTGTATACCATGATCTGGACAGTCTTTTGAGGCTTTTGTCTATGCAGTGCAAACAGATTCACAAGATTTAATTTTACTGATAGTCATTGTAGTGCCGCGAAAAAAGAATGAGCCAATTGCACTGGTTTGTGCAAGCTTCCTACTTTTTCGATCTTAATGGAATCAAAGGGTCAGTACAATATAAAAGTTCACCACCGACGAGTCTGTCACTTTGCATTTCCAGCTTTTGTAAATGATCCATTTGCTTCATACTGAATATTTCAGCAGCATTCATGCTTCTTTTCTTTATATTCTCGTCCGCCCTCATACGCGGCTCAAAGGCCGGTATCACTGAACTGAACTGTACAGAAATGGTTGGTGGTGAAGCCAAGGTAGGTATCATCAGTGACCATCGTTTGCGCACCAATTTGAGATTGCTTTCACGATAAGAATTGCTTGCACGAAAGTACCAATATACTAGTGAATCTCGAACAATTGATCGTTTCAGAGAAGAGTATTCAATATGCGGTCACGGCATTCCAATTGACAACCTTTTCAGTATGCTCAATCGGCGGTAAACTGCAACAACAAAATTTCCGACGCTGCTTGCCTCGTCATCTATACGACTGCTGTGAAGGCGAATGACAATACCGATCGGAATGAAAAATGTGACGGAAATCCCGTAGTACGTGATCAGTCAACGATTTGGAAAAGGCTATATATTTGCATCCTTCTATTCCAGTTTCGTATTAATTACAAGCCGGCATTTTCAGTTTGACCCTGACCAGTGTTTCTTTGATGATATCCTGTACAGGTGCTCCAAAAACCCAGGCGAAAATGTCGCCACAAGATTAGGTGACATTTTTGTCTGAATTTTTGGAACACATATACTGGATATCAGCGAAGGAATGCTTAATCTCGGGAAAGAATCGATCCTATACTCATACCTTCCGGTTACCGCGCCTTTGAACTCTGCCCTGGAATGGAACGCACGCAGCTTATCAGTGCTAAACTTTGAGTTGTCAATCCGTTTACCTTATGACCTATAACTCCGATACTAAGCGTTATGTCCGTAGTTTTGCCAGCCTAGGATTATTCTATCTTCGAAAATTGCACTATTTTAAACCTGAATCTCAATAATCAATTGATTGGGCTCCTTCTTTTTCTTTTTTGGGTCTACCTGCTATTTCTCATGTTTGGCGGTATGAGCATTAATCTGTTCGCACTGATTATGACTAGAAAATATCAGGGTTAATTTCTGTAATTAATACTTCACAGCGTGTAGGAATTCTCTACTTCTCAGGGAGGGTGATCACAAATTCCAAGGCGGTCAACCAAAACCAACATATCTCCACTTCTTAAAGTTTCCCACATCTTTTATTGTAATCTGTAGTAGTATGGTGGTGGAGATATCTCGGGGAATCGCCCAGTCGGGACCTTTGCCAGATAAGTTATACCGATATGAGAGAATTTGAGTATAACAAGCTTCCTTCATATTTAGAATCCTGCGCTAGTTCAAGCCGCTATAGACATCTGCCCGAAGACGTGCGGATATTGCTGCCTCATACCTGCTTTCATGTGCCAAAACAAATTACGTAAGTTGAAGTTCTCTCAATCCGTGAACTGGTGCTGTGGCAGTATAATTTCGCGCCATCCACTCCCTCACAGAACCGCGAGTCCCCTGCTCATCAGTAACGCAGGACATGTGCGAGAATCAGGCTTGGAAAACTATTCTTGAGGAGGACTGTCCCAAAACGTGTGGATTCTGTAATTCAGGTACGTTTAGGTTAGTAGAGGGAATCCTTAAGATGGTCTACCTATACTGCCACCATCAGTCATCCTGTTTCCATTGAGGATGCTAAACGATGATTGAAGGAGGTGTGTAGCCTGAGTGACGGTCTTAGGGAAAACAAAAAGCCGACGAGAACCCAAAGCAGCAGATAGAATTCTGTTGCACAAGGTTAATTTTTCATATAGGATAAAGTCTTCTGGCGTTACTCGATCCCGTCTGAGGGATGTGCCTTCATTTAGGTACCATTCAGGTCGTAGCGGCATATTGAATGAGTATGTAGTGTATACAATGACTTCTGGTGGCCAGCTGATACACAATTGAGTGCCATTATCCTCTCAGACGGGTCTAGAAATAGTTAAAAGACCTCGGAGGGATGGAATGCTTGGTTGGTCTAGACGGATACCGATCCAGGATTTGAACCCGTGACATCGCGTGGGTGATAGTGGGCTAATCGCCACCATACCCCCTCTGCCCACTAATCACTTTGAACAAAAACAGTACTCGTGAATTTGTCATCACCTCGAATACAACCAAAATACCAGGTTCCTGTGTTGATGAAGCACCTGGCTGCCGCATAGAGGGCGACTTCATTTGCCAGAGTAAAAACCTGGAAGCATTCGCGAAGGTGAGCGAAGATAATAGTTAATATAAATAAATCGGTAGCCGACTGCCACCTAATCACCACTCCGTATAGTAAATAATTAAATGCTTTTGAAGAAGTACTGCAAGAAGGCCTGAGGGTACTGCAACGATGGAACAACAACATCACGACCAGGTCAACCAGTCAGTCGAGTACCACCAGGTTCACCCGGTCAACCAGGTGCACCAGGTCAACCAGGCGCACCAAGTCAACCAGGTNATCATATAGTAAATATTGAATACTTTTGAAGAAGTACTGCAAGAAGACGTGCGGGTACTGCAACGATGGAACAACAACATCACGACCAGGTCAACCAGTCAGTCGAGTACCACCAGGTTCACCCGGTCAACCAGGTGCACCAGGTCAACCAGGCGCACCAGGCCAACCAGGTGTACCAGGTCAACCATTCAGTTCGGTACCACAAGGTTAATGCTTTCATTTGATGTTTTCTCCCAGTCATCTTTGTTTTCGTCTAAGTGAACCTGAACGAGAAATAGCAATTTGCTACTCTTCGAAGGGGCAGAGCTCCTTCTGTAGAAAATGATTAAGCAGGATAGAAACGATCTAAATCCTGGGCTGAGTTTCTAGCTGTTTTGAAGCCTCCGAAGTAGCTCTAGGTATCAGTTTCTTGCTTGCTGCCCTGCTAGCATTGCAATGACGGATCCAGAATGTTCCTGAGTAGCTCTACCTCTGAGTGATATCTGCCCGGCATTTCTTCTTTCTTGATATTTCTACTTTTTTCACCCCTTTCATGAATGACGTCACAATCAATCATTAGCCATAGGTCTGATACTAGGAATAGAACTAAACAAAAAGCAGATAGTATGCATGATTTTTCTTTATTTCAGGTGCTGGATGTGGAACGAACCCCAAGTAACTTTTTCTATATATTGCATATGAAGTTCAGGTTTATTTCTTCCATAAGATCTCTGAAATTTCTTTCAAGGGCAATCCTCATTGTAAAGTAGCCATTTATACGCTCATTTCATAGTTTTTATGGCGTTGACAACTTTAGGAGGGGTACGGGAATAAATTTTCGATCGCTCCTAATCAAGCTTGCCTTGCACCTGGGCGCGAAGTGACTTTAATTAGCTGCGAATACTCCGCGGTAATTATGCTGCCCGTACTCGCTACTAATCGAGTTAAAACTTGTCAACTAAGGAGGATAATGACACTTCATAAAATGGAGATTCTATTAAAAAATGTTCCTTTTTCAAAGAAAACTTCCAATATCAATTTCAACAGTTTTGAGAGTTTTATTTACACGCAAAATAAATCAATTCAATGTATTCTGTAAATAAAGTTTGTGTGGTCTGAGAGAAAACGGTTCAATTCAATAGTGATAAGAATTCATAAGTAAAAAACTGCGATAGTTTTGTTTGTTACAAATCCGGACATCTTTATACAAAATTCTTGTATTTCCTGGCAGCTTGCTCCTTGCTGTTGAAATTCATCAAACCTATTAAAATGTAAAATAGCACATACGGTCGAAATAGTTGGATAGGGGCTCAGAAGACGTGTATTTACAGAATGGGGAAGCGATTTTAATGGGGGCTCTACTGGGGGAGGGAAAGAGGTGAACTAAACTGTTTTATCCATTTTACAGCAGCCTGAAACGAGATATATTGGATTTATTTATAATGTGTGTAAATAAAACTTTCAAAACCGTTGAAATTGATTTCTAATAGAAGCTTCATTTTTTTAAAACTGTCATCATCCTCCTTAGTTGGCAAGTTTTAACTCGATTAGTAGCGAGTACGGGCAGCATAATTATCGCGGAGTCTTCGCACC